ACTGGTTTGAAACTCCCTCTGGATTAGTGGAGACACACCATTCTGGGCTCCACTAAACACAGCTGAGCCCTCTCCAGGCCTAGCTTCTGGTCGCGATAACACTGATGCAGCAATTGGTCTGTATGCAACCCTGGATCCAGTTCGGATCAGAGCCGGGGTGCAGGCGAGCTTGGCGCAGGCGAACATCTTAAACTCTTCGGGGAGGCGCGGCTGGAGGACTTGGGTGACAGGTGGCGTGGGCTCCTCTCCCGCTTCCTCCCTTCTACACGGCGGCAGTGGCGGCAGAGGTCGAAGTGGTACTAAAAATTTTTTATTTTTTTTTTATTTTATCATATCGTCAAAGATGCAGCAAACAAGATGGGCCACTTAGGGCAGAGTTCCAAAAAAGTAAAATTGCTGGCTTGAAGAGCAAACCAGTTTGAAGATTTTGCCAAATGGCTCTCCCGAGTGGTTACTCTGGGCCACCACCCGGCAGCCAGCAGTGAGAAGGAACCTGGAAAAGGGAAAAATGTATTTATATGTGTGTGTTTAAGGGAAGAGTATTAGCCAGCCTCCACAGGGGCACACAGCTTCAAGCCACCAGGACACAGGGCCTCCAACACCCTTAATCTTCTCAGTTCTTCCAAGGAATTTGGCTTCACAGCGATTGGTTGCTTTGGAGGCTTTCTTTCTCCCAAAACTTTGTAGTAGCCCTGTTGAACCACATCAGTGACAGCAGCATCTCCAACCTTGCTGCTGGCACCATTCACCCTGTTCTGCTCACTGACCAAGGTCTGTAGTTTGTCAAGGTTGACAGTTGGGCAGAAGCTCTGGTCCTCTTCGGGAGGTAATGTCTCATACCAACACCGTTCCACACCTGCCTGGCTAACCGTTGTCAAGATCAGCCTGGTGCATGTCGCTAACTGCGTGACTGACTGTGCCATGAGACCCACGGCCAGTGAATAATGGGCGGTCACTCCAGTACACCAAGGCAACGGCCAGTACCCGGGCGTGGCTCTAGCCTCGATTGCAGCGGAATTTCTGAGAAGTTGTTGATTGCTAGGCCGGGGCCCCATAAGGGAGCATCTGGTCGCCTAGTCCAACCCCAAGGCCTCTCTGGCATTTCAAAACCACCCACCGTGGATCTCATAATGATGAAACATAGACTAGCTCCTCCTGTTCCGTTTACAACCTCAGAAATCCAAGGTTTGGAGGGCCACCCGGCTGATAGTCCCCGTTCCCTCCCCTCCCCAGCCCCTCTCCAGTTTGCCCTGAATGTTTATCTCTTCCTCTCCTCCCAGGTGCCTATAGATAACAACATTCCTGAGAGGACCGGGCCGGTGAACCGGGTCCCCACAGACACCAAGGAGCTTGAGGACAATGAGGTCATCCCAAAGAGGATCTCCCCCTTCGATGGGGATGAAGACGTGTCCAACAGGGTGTCCATGTCCAGCACTGGTCAGGGCAGGGGCATCTTTGAGAGGACAGATGTTTTAGCAGGTAAGGTCCTGTGCCTCTTCCTTAAAAGGCACGAGGGCGGTGGGGGCTGGGGATTCTGAGCGGGGTGAATCCTAGCCCTTGACTCCTCTTTGCTCCTTGATTCGCGTGCAGCTCTCTTGGGCTGCTGGCCTGGGCTATTGCAGGACTTCACCCTTAAGGGCTAGCTCTGGCTGTGTTTGACGCGCTGGGCATTGCAAACGGTTAGTGCTCTACTAAAAAGATTAGTGGTTCAAACTGTGCAGAGGCACCTTAAAAGACACCTGGTGACCTGCTTTGAAAACTTGATGGAGCGATTCAACCCCAGAGTTTGCCAACAAGGACGGGCTGGGTGCAGCCTGGCAGAGGAGGAGGGCCAATAACTGCATCTCAGAGGCTTCCAGAGACACGCGGCTGAGGTCATTCACCTGCCTTAAGTTTTCCTGGCTATTTTTCAAAGCACTTACATAGCCTGGGTTTGGCATCCAGGAGTTTGGTCAAATTTTATCAACTTTGAAAGTATGGAGAGTCGTTAAGACTGACAGCTTCCCCTGGCACGCTGTTAAGCAGTCGCCAGCCTTGCTACCTTGGCTGAGAACCTTTTGAACTCAGGGGGCCTCTGTTTATTCAACTGTAAAATGGGTACAAGTGATACTTCCCTGGGTTGTTGTCATGATGCCCTGAGAAACATAGTGTCTCAAAGGACTTTGCAAACCAGAAAGGCTGTTCTGATTTGTTAGTATCTGTCATTTAATCCTTGTTGACCTCTGAGGGAGGTGAGGCTCAGATTATCTTCATGTGACAGATTGAGAAATTGCAGTGTAAAGAGATGGCTCAGCCAGTGAGCTCTGGAGGGGAAAACTGGGGCCTGGAGCTGGGGTGGTCTCCGAGGCTGGCTGTTGTCAACGGGAGCGTCCTTTTTGACCAGGTTTTCAGGCAGCCCTGCTGCTGGTCCGTCAGGATCAGCCTGCCCTGTGAGTGTGTGTCCCAGACCTTGGGAACCAGCTGCTCAGAGGAGCTTCTGAGAGGTGTGGGGTGAGAGCTCGCTGGCTGACCTCCAGACAAGATCTTGTCTGTCTCCCAGGTGACTCTTGGTAGCTCAGTCTCCTGGGGCCTGAGCAGATGTTCCTTGTAGCTTTTCTTCGCTAACTTTGTGCAATTGGAGCAGGGCGGCACTAGCGAGACACTTAGAGACCATCTAGGCTTATGTCCTGGTGGTCATCCAAATGATTAAGAACTCAGTTGCTGACAGAAAGATTGACAGTCCAAGTAGACTTGACACTCGCGCTTGCTTCTGTGAGGGTTACTGCCAAGAAAACACATGGACAGTTCCACTCCAGCACAAGGGGTCACTAATAAGCCGCTAATAAGGCTCGTAGATTTCAAACCGACAAGTTTTTCAGGGGTAAAGCCTGCCCCGTCTTTTCTTTTTCAAAGAAAACCCCAGAGAATTTTGTTTTCAGCTGGCTGATTTCGGATTTGCATGGGGGTTTGCGTGGAGTTTCTGCTGTTTTCAAAGAAAAATTGAAAAACCATTCTTCTAGTCTGAGCCACTTTCTTCAACACGGGGCGAGGCGGGGGGGACCCAGAGAAAGCAAACCACTTCCTGTAGGCAGTGTGGCAAGAGGCAGAGCTGAAGCCAGGTTATCCCCCTTGAGTCTTCCCAGCCAAGAGGTGGGGAACCAGGAGATGGTCAGAGGTCAGGTGTGGAGCTGGGAGTTGCCAGGGACTTAACCTGCCCTAATGCCACGTGATGCCTGAACACAAGCACCTTATCAGGCAGGTCTGCTTATCTGTGTACTTACAGATAAGGAAGCTGAATAAATAACTTGTCCATGGTCACAAAGCCAGCACGTGGTTTACCTGGCATCTGAACCTAGGTCACTTGTTGTCTTTTTTACTTTGACTCCTATAACGATCCAAGCATAGACTGAGGGCTGATGGAGAGTTGGGGGGGGAGGGTTCACAGGAAGGGAAGGTGATGGAAGCAGGAGTGGAGGTGCTGCCCGATATTCCCCCTGCTTTTACCGGTGACTCTTGGGGGCCCCTTTATTGCTACCGTGTGGCTCTGCTTGAAGGGAGCTTTCCTGGGCTCCTGGGCTGATCTACCCCCATTCTGTCTATGGATTTGGAGCATGTGTGGGGATGGAAAAAAATAATCTTCTTAGCCTGAGTCAGACTGAATTAGGGGACAACCTGCCACTGAAAGAATCCTGTGATCCCTGCCCCCCAATCCCCAACACTCAGAAATGAGCCTTTCAGGGGGCCGCCTCGGCTGTGGAGAGAGAAAAGACCTCGTGCTGAAAGACAAGGGGGGCCCTTCATTGGACCGTGTGCCCGAGCCCCAGCGGTGTCATTTATTAAGCGTTGTGGTTGTTGGGTGGTATCGTGCTGGTCCCAGCTCACAGCTTCCTGGGTAATAGAGGAGAACTGGCTGGCAGAGCTTTCTAGACTGTAATCTTTGTAATCTTTATGGGAGCAGCTTGCCAGGCCTCTTCTACAGAGCTGCGTCTAACCTCTGACCTTGAGATTAGCAATGGAGTACTGAACTCCAGCACCTCAGAACTCTTCCCAGGGTGCTGGGGACTCAGAGGCGAGCCAGTGACGTTTGCAGGGAGCACGTGCTGAGCAGTGGGCACCGGACCAAGCATTTGAAGTGCCCTAGCTGATTTCATCCCTCTGACAAACCCCGAGGTAGGGATATTAGAACTCCTCATTTGGCAACAAGAAAGCAGAAGGAGCTTGCCCAAGATCACATGGCCAGCGAAAGAGGGGAGGGGAGGGCTAGGACTAACCGCGGAGACATATCCTACGTGGGCATGCTGCATTACTGTATCATTACTTTATCTAGAGGAGCCTGCATGGCCTGTTGGGTAAGGGGTTGCATTGTCAGCTCAAAGGCAAGCAGTTCAAATCCTCGAGCTGCTCCAAGGATGAAAGATGGCCAGTCTTCTCCTGTGCAATTTACAGCCTCTGAAAACCCACTGGAGGGTCAGTGATGAGTCAATCCAACTCATGACATGTAATGACAAACGGCAACAAATAACCATGACAACAAAGCTCCCAGTGGCCCATCATGTATATCAGAGCAGAATGGTCGCACCTCTTTTAATCTTAACTACTTGACTTCTTCCACTTATACTAATAGCCAGTCAGTTCCACCCAACTCCCACCTCAGAGGGTTTCCAGCAGCTACTTTTTGCAGAAGTGCATTGCTGGTTTCTTTCACAGTACCATTAGGTGGACACGAACTGCCAGCCTCTCACAGCACCCAGGGGCTTTAAGTATGTGTGTGACCACCCAGGGACTCCATCCCTGGCATATCCGCTGTCGTCCAGTTTGATCTGGCTCCTCGCTGCTTTCCAGAGGTTTCTAAGGGAGCTCTGGTGGCCTAGTAGCAAGAAACTAGCACTGCAGTTCCGAAGGCATGCGGTTCAAATCCACCAGCTGCTTCGTGCAAGAAAGATGGGCAGTCTCCTCCTGAGTGATTAACCGCCTCTGAAAAGTTGCCGGAGGGTCAGCTGTGGGTCGGTTCCAACTCTGTGGTACACAACAAGAAGTCTTTACCCATCTTTGGACGAGGGCAGAAAGGTTAAAGTAGTGCTTTCTCTGCGCCGGCCATGTGATCACAACGTGATTTAACCTCTCTGCGCCTGATAGTTCCTCTTCATGTAAACAAGGTCATGAGGCTCAAATGAAGCAGAACATTGACTGCCTCATGCAGGTGGTGATGGTGAGAGGGTAGCTTTGGAGGGTTGAAGGTAGAGATTGGGGTGTCCTGGTTCTTTAGTGTTGCTGAAGCAGAAAGGCCCTTATGGCTCTAACATAACGTATTTTGCACAGTTTAGGAAGCTGGGAGTTTGAATTTGGGAGACCAGCTCTGTTGTTGTTAAGTGCTGTCAAGTTGCTTATGACTCATAGTGACCCTATGTACAACAGCCCTAAACTCCGCTCTGTCCTGTGCCAATCGCACTGTCTCTGATACATCCATCCCCCAGTCACTGAATCAATCCACCTCACAGAGGGTCTTCCCCTCCTGTGCTGTCCCTGCACCCTCCCAAGCATGATGTCCCTCTCCAAGGACTGGTCCCTCCTTACAACATGTCCACAGTATGTCAGACGAAGCCCCAGAATCCTTGCTTTCAAGGAGTTGCCTGGTTTAACCCTCTCCAGGATGAATCTGTTTGTTTTCTTAGCAGTCGATGGTATATTCAATACTCTTCTCCAGCACCACATCTCAAAGGCGTCGGTTCTCCTTCTATCCTCCCTAGTCATTGTCCAACTCTCTGATGCATAACAAGTGATTGCAAAGGCCATGGCCTGTATCAGGCGCACTTTAGTCTCCAGAGAAACACAATTGCTCTTCAGAACTTTGGAGAGGTCCCTAACAGCAGACTTTCCCATCGTAATATGTCTTTTAATTTCCTGGATGCTGTTGCCAAGAGTGTTGACCAGCTCTAGGAAAGGGTTTTACTCAGCTCTTTGATGTCTCAGTAAAGATTCACACCCCCTCCACTGATACTGGGGAGCTCTGGTGGCCTAGTAATAAGGAGCTGTGCTGCCAACACTAAGTCACAATTTGAATCCACCGACTGCTCTTCAGGGGGAAAGATGGACAGTTTCCTCCTGTGCTGTTTGCAGCCTCTGAAACCCACAGGAGGGTCTGCTAGGAGTTGATTCCAACTCAAAGACACATAACAGCAACAACACTAATATGTAACAGGTGCTCTGGTGACCTAGTGGGTAAGGAGCTGTACTGCACCTATAAATAAGGTGTATTTTGGTTGTTTGGGTTTGTTTGTTTCTTGGGGTTTTTTTTAAACACTGATAGTTTCTTAACATAAATTGTTGCAGAGTTGGAACCAACTCAGAACTGACCCTCCAGCCAATTTCCAAGGCTGTAAAACAATCGAGAGGAGATGCCTATCTTTCTCTCCCTCTCTTTATCTATCTCGCTGTCTCTCTTTCTCACTCTCTCTCTGAGATTTGGAACAACCAGGGACCTGTGGCTTCTGGGTTTGCAGCGTAACACTATGGATTGTACCACTTGGGCTCCCTGACATGACAGAGCAAGCCTTATTTCCAATCGGGATTACAACCACAAGCACAGGGGTTAGGGATTACAGCATATGGGGTTTTTGGGGGATGAGGGGGTGACATTCAGTCCCTAATAGGGAACACCCAGGGTCTGGCGGGGCCTCTCTCACTCCTGTGCCTTGTGTCTTCCTCTGCAGCTCTGATTGTGGGTGGCGTAGTCTGCATTCTCTTCGCCACCTTCCTCATCCTGCTGCTGGTATACCGCATGAAGAAGAAAGACGAAGGCAGCTACGACCTGGGCAAGAAGCCCATCTACAAGAAAGCCCCCACCAACGAGTTCTACGCGTGAAGCGCCCCCTGGGCTTGGACTGTGGGGGGCGGGGAGCCAAAGGACTGGGAAGGGTGAACCCTTGGGTAAAGGGAGGGAAGCCGAATACTGACCCATCAGTGTCTCCAGGTCCGATCCTATTTTTAATGTTTAGAGGGTGAGGCCTCATCTTTCGCGGTGCCTGGCTCATCTCGAGTTCCTGGGCCTTCAATGCCCCGGCAGAAAAATGGGATTGAACTTCATCTATCTGAAGGCAGCCTGAGGATTGCAGCATTTCTTACCCTTCCAATTTAGAGCCTAGGACCTCAAACCAACTTAGAAGCCCGCCTGAATCCTTCATTCCCCATCCAGAACCTTCAGAAGCCAGGGACCCTGGGTGACTGTGGCTTCTGATTGGAGACCTATCCCCAGGGGTTTCCTCTCTCCCTTTAACTGTCTCTTTTCAAGGAATTGGGAGAAGGAACTAGAACCCTGTGGTGTGTCTGTGGGGACATGTGCTCATGCTGCAGGATTCTCTGTGGTTCTCTGCTAACTTGAGCTGTTGGGGATCTTTCAAGTGACTTTTGGAAACCAGCCTTTTTTTTTTTAAATGGGAGAACGAGGGACGAGAGAAGAAAGTTTATGCTGAAATGACTTGTAGAGTATTTGTAAACCTATTTTTAGTAGCCTGCCTTTGTTTATTTTTTAACGGTTCATTCCTTCAAGCAGAGCGTCTCTCTGCCTGGACAAGGAGCGTGCTAAGTCTATATTTAATGGGGGTTCTTTTTGTTGTTGTTGCTTGTTTCTTGAAAATGAGAGAAGAGCCGGAGATAATGATTTTTATTAATATTTTTTTTATTATTATTTATAGCTTCAGACAGGGCCTCTCTTTTCGTTCTCCCCACCTATTTTTTCTTTCTTTCTTTCTTTTTTTTTACTTCACTTTCTCCTACCTACAGCCATGGCCCTTTCTGAGGCTGCTTCCTTTACGAAGTAGCTTTTGCTAAAACATACTTTTTATTTTTTAGCGGGTCCCAAAGGATAGTGGGATACGTGTGTCTCTTTTCTTGTAATATATTCTTTCTCCTGGGTTCTAGACAAATAGATGAATATATTTTTTCAGGAAATAGTTGATCATGCTGTTTGAAGCGGGCCTCGTTGGTTGTGTGAGAAGCTTCTCTGTGACTGGGTGTGTGTTTACCTGTTATTCCTACCCCATTCCTGGTGCCTTTTGTTGTTGGGGTTTTTTTTTTTATGAGCTGTAACAGTCAAGGATGCCCCTACCCTCTGTTTTCCACCTTGGGCCCAGCTGGTGTTCCTTGGTTTGCTTTCTTCCATCTCCTGACTGCACTGTTCAACCACACACCATGTGGGATTATTTACATTTCAACCAGCTAAGATTCATTCCTTGCCCACACTGGCTGTATTTGACATGCTAGGTCGTCACGAGGTCCGCCATACTGGGTGGGCGGTTGGGACACTTGCATCTGTCGGGGCTGTGCTGCTTTGAGGACTTAGCTGGTGTAAAGGGATGACCCTTATCTGCCTGGACAAGGATAGAGGGCATGGAGTGGGGGAGGATCCGGGCTGGTTAGCCTCACCTGGAGCCTGTCACCTAGGATCCTCATTCTGGAATGGAGAGGCTGGGTGGCCTAGACTGGGCAACCCATGTTTCCTTGACCCCATTGGCTGGGGTTGGGGAACCACTCTCCCCCTTTCTCTACCCAGTGTCCACTTATGAGTTCCTTCACCACTCCACTCCAGGGTCCCAGCTGGCTGGGTCCTTGTCCACACACACACACACACACACACACACACACACGTCCCCACGCCCTGTCCTCAGGCTATGTTGGGAGCAAGCACCTTTTCTGTAGCCACTGCTCAATGCTGTCTGTTACTGATTTTTTGATAAAAAGACAATAAAACCTGGTACTTTCTAGATTGTCTGCCTATCATTTTTTTCCATCTTTGTTTTGTTGGAAATTCAGCAGTATCAACATGTCCAAGTCAGTGATGCTGATTATATTCTCCAAGTTGTATAATTATTCTCACCTTCCTTTTTATAATTGTTCCTCTGACGGCCTAGGGAGCATTGGTGGTTCAGTGGTAAAGAGCTGTGCTGCTCACCCAGAGGTACATGGTTCGGATCACCAGCTCTTCAGAGAAAGAGGCAGTCTCCTATGCAATTTACTGCCTCTGAAAATCTGCTGGAGGGTCCGCTGCATGGTACTTAACAACTGGTGGGGTTGTCTAGAGAGAGCTGCACCGCTAACCTGTAAACTGCATCTCTGGCTCTTCAAATCCACCCGCAGAGCTTTTCAAGAAAGGCTGTTCTCCTGTGTCATTTACAACCTTGGACATTCCACAGGAAATTCAGCTATGAGTTAGCTGGTTCAGACTTGAAGCCAATGGGTTTGAATTTTTGATATTTTACTAACCAAAGCTCACGGTCCCCACCCCATAAAGCTTCCTGAGTTGCTGTTGTCAGTTTGATCCCGTGTAGACAGTTCCTAAAGAGGGCCCATTCACTGTTCAAGGCAGGCAACCTTTACTAATTAAACACCTGTTGTTTTTCAAAGTCATCAAATTCAGATACTCTGCCCCTTGATCTTAGAACAGCATGAGAGAATTCCTCCAAGTCACAGACACTGGGCATAGAGATCTAAGCTAAACCAGGAGAGGATTCAGGAAAAGTCTGAACACACAAGCTAGTGGCCTGGGGCTGGGGCTGGGGCTGGGGCTGGTGTATTGCCTGTCTCACCCTGTGTTCTGTTTAGCTTGCACTGTGTTTAAGAAAACAAACACAAAGATCTTTGAATGAGTTGCCAACTATGAAAATCAGGACATTTCAAAGAATCCTGGCTTGGCTTCCTTCAGTGGTGGGGGCAGAATAAAGGCTTGGCAGCGCTTGGCTTCCATTGTAAGGTGCTGAAGGCTGCATGGCAACAATAAAAAAGGGCACACCTGTTGCCATCAAGTCAGCTCCAGCCCTTGCTGACGCCACATGCGACAGTAGAATTGCCCTGTGACGTTTTCTCGGCTGCACATTTTATGGAAGCACATCACCAGGCCTTGCTTCTGCAGAGCCTCTGGGTGGCGTGCAAATGATGTGGACCATCTCATGACCATGGTAACAGATGCTGCTCCTTTTGAGACCATACAACAGAATGACGCGCAGGCTTCATTTTGCACCTGCCTCACTGTTATAATCACTGTGTCAGTCCATCTCTTTGAGGGGCTTTCTCTTACTGTCTACCAAGCATGTTGACTTTCTCCAGGAACTGGTCCCTTCTCATAACATATGCAAAGTATCTCCATCTTAACAGTCTAGAATGAGAGGTGCGTAGCCAAGTGGACTGGAGGTGAGGGGAGGAAAACGTACAACAGTAAATGAATGGGAATCCAAGTTTTCGATAAACTTTTGTTAAAATCAATAAAAATTTATATTAAAAATAAATTACATACACACACATAACATACAGAGAACTGAGCAAGGGAACACTGGATGGTTCAAAATTGGGAAGGGATGTGTCCTATCTCCATACCTTTTCAATCTATATGCAGAACAGATTACCTGGGAGGCTGGACTCTTATGAGGAGAAATGTAGCATCAGGATAGGAGGAAGACTCATCAACAATATTTGTTAATGCAGATGACACAATCCAGATTGCTGAAACAGGAGGACATGAAGCACTTGCTACAGAAGGTTAAGGACTGCACCCTTCAATATGGAGTGAAGCTCAATGTCAAGAAAACAAAGATTCTCACCACATCGTGATGGATGGTGACAAGATTGAGATTGTAAACAGCTTTAGTTTGCTTGGCTCCACAATCAACACTCTTGGCACCAGCAGCTAGGAAATTAAAAGAAGTATTGCATTGGAAAAGTCTGCTGTCAGAGACCTCTCCAAGGTACTGAAGAGCAATGATGTCAGTCTGGAGACTAAGGTGCGCCTGCTACAGGCCATGGTCTTTGCAATCACTTGCTATGCATCAGAGAGCTGGCCAATGACTAGGGATGATACAAGGAGAATTGGTGCCTTTTTAGCTGTGGTTTTGGGGAAGACTGTTGAATATACCATGGACTTCTAAGAGAACAAACAAGTTTGTCCTGGAGAGGGTTAAGCCAGGCTGCTTCTTGGAGTCTAGGATTCTGAAGCTTTGTCTGACATACTCTGGACATGTTGCAAGAAGGAGAGGGACAGTGCAGGAGAGGAAGACCCTCGAGATTAATTCATTCAGTGACTGGGATAAGAGGGGTAGGTGTGTCAGAGACAATAAGATTGGCACAGGATAGAACAGGGTTTAGGGCTATTATATAGGGTTCGCTATGAGTCACAGGCGACTCAACAGCACAGCACATACAACTAACTCTCTCTCTCTCTCTCCATATATATATATATGAAAGTATTTCCATCTTTTTAAATTACTTTTTAATTGATATTTTAACGAAAGTATACATTCATTCATTGTTGCACATCCATCTTCACTTCGGAGGAGCATGCTGGCCTCACTTCCATGATAAGATCTGCTTGTTCTGGCTGTCCATGGTATATTCAGTATTCTCCACCAACACTGTCATTCAAAGGCCTCAGTTCTTAACTTATTCATTGTTATTCTTTTGCATCCATATGAAGCAAATGAAAATACCATAGCCTGAGTCCGACCTACTCCTAGTAGTCAGAAGTGCCAGCTTTGTCTTTGAATTAAAAGGTCTTTTGCATCAGATCTACCCAGTGCAATAACATCTGATTTCTAGACAACCAGGGGACTCTGGTGGACTAGTGGCAGGAAACTGTGCTGCAATCCCAAAGGTGCACAGTTCGAATCCACCAACTGCTTCGTGGGAGAAGGATAGGCAAACTCCAGTGCTATTTTATTGCCTCTGAAAACCTGCTGGAGGGTCTGTTATGGGTTGTTTCTGACTCGAGGACACACAGCAACAAAGCTACACAGGTTCCAAGTGGCAGAGGAGACTTTGAACTCAGGCAGACAGACTGGAGTCTGATCATAACTCAGCCACACAGTCCCCTCTGAAATG